CTCTTCCTCCTAACCTCCCATTGTCATCTGTTTTGGTTCCCAGAGTCTTCTACAAAATAACTGCTTCTCCTCAAATAAATAATTGCATGTCAGTTACACAGGTAATAGTCAGGGAATGATGCCAGTTAGTTCTTGCTTCTTGAGTGTGTGTTTGTGTGTGTCTGTGTGTATTTTTCTTCACTATAGTTGTCAAGGCGGTGGCCATCACAGGCCATTGTTGCCGTCGAAATCCTGTGAAGTAATTAGACCCTTAAGGAAGAAACAGGGTGTGTCTTTACCTGTCATCAGATCTTAAAACCTCTCACACCTCTCAAAAACCATGAGCAATGTAAATGTAGATGTGTCTGCAGGAGATAGGTCAACTTTGCCGTGTGTGTGTGTGTGTGTGTGTGTGTGTGTGTGTGTGTGTGTGTGTGTGTGTGTGTGTGTGTGTGTGTGTGTGTGTGTGTGTGTGTGTGTGTGTGTGTGTGAGAGAGAAAACGTGTCATGGGGGGGGGTTTCTGCACATCTTCTATGCAGAACTGATCTGTGAGGGATTCATATTTCAACACCAGACACCTGCTCTCAACTGCCACTTACACACACATACACACGCACACACACCCACCCCCCCCACACACACACACACAGACACACACACATACACCCATACACCCCTACGTTTATGATAGTGCGGGAAACAGATTAAAACATTTAAAATATGTTGTTTTTCGGTTATTATTTTGAATTATATTCTGTATTTAGTACTGTAACATTGAACATTTTCACAGAAAATATCTCAAACACACACAAACCTACACACGAGGTGCAGAGTATTAGACTCGTAATATTCTTGGGCTAGCTTAAGTTGGGTATTAGATGGAAAAAATTGATAGTTGAGTTGCAAAGTAGCATTTACTATTTCACAGTATAGGGAAGTCCAGAGCTTAATTTATTGCTGTAAATCAGCAGACGTTGTATCAAATTCCAGTGAATGAAAGCATGACAGGGGTGGCAAGACAAAGGAAAGGCGTGGTGGCATACAGGATAAGGCAGGAGGTGTTTTTTTTACTTCCTCACTGGTAGAATTTGTTATTGCATTGGTAAATCGCTACAACCAAATGACCCTTACATTAGATACGATTTTAACATGATAAAGGGGAACGCTGCTAAATGACAGCGGCTCCCTCTCCTGGTTAAATCATGTGAAGCAAGCACCTCTAACAAACTCTCTCTGTGTATCTCAGGTGTAACAACCCATCAGTAATAGTTCATTCGGGGGCAAAGCATCCTCTCCCTGCCGAGTCTCCTGACACACTGAAAAAGAGGCGAATCCACTGCTGTGACTTCAACGGCTGCAACAAAGTGTACACCAAGAGCTCCCACCTCAAAGCACACCGCAGGACACACACCGGTAAGAGTCACACACAAAAGGTACATTAAAACACTTATATCATCCTTTACCAGCACTGTAAGACCAATTTTACTGGGGGGGTCCATGCTGTGGCCAATTATTGAGAGTGGCACTTTTAATGTGGGACAAAAAGAAAATGTTTTGTTCAGTATACAATTATAGAGCAACCCTATAGAAACATGATTTTATGTTTTTGGTATTTGTTTTAATTACAAAATTTGTGTAGATAACAATTTGAAAAACAAAACAAAACTTCAGCTCAAGTTACAGCACAATCTTCACTGCAACAGTATCACAATAACATGGAATCCTTTTGCCGGGGGGAGGGGGCACAGGGGGGTCCAAGCTCAGTGTTACAGGGGCACTGGCCCCTGTTGGCCCCCTCCCCAGAACCGCCCATGTTTAAAAGCCCTTTTGCTGACCATCTTTTCTCCCTCTGTGCAGGTGAGAAACCCTACAAGTGCATGTGGGAAGGCTGCACGTGGAAGTTCGCCCGTTCAGACGAGCTGACGAGACACTTCCGCAAACACACAGGAGTCAAACCGTTCCAGTGCCCCGACTGTGAACGCAGCTTCTCCCGGTCGGACCACCTGGCTTTGCACAAGAAACGCCACCTCCTGGTGTGAAAAACTCAGAATCCCGGCAGCTTTAACAAAAAAAAACTTGTTGCTGGTTTTAACGTTGGACTGTACCACTGTGACTTATGGGGGGATCTTTAAAGAGTTTGCCTTACATGTTGGACTCCAGGGAGTGGGGAAATGTTCCTTCAGGGTGTGAATTAGGACCCTTTCAACTCAGTAGCTGGGGGTCCACCTATTAATCATGTAATCGTCACACCATCCTGCTTGCAGATTTCTCAGCAGCTTATTTAGACATGTTGAGAGAAACCAGATCTCTGATCAGGTGTGGAAGGCCCAGACACTCTTTAAAATAGAGGCAGCAGCCTCTCAGCTGGCCTGAGAGCAGCGCCCTCTTGTGGCTGCTAAACCTAACCGCATCTACACTCGCTCTGTTTAAGCCAGAAACAGCATGCTACTTTATACATCAGCTCACATTTCTCTACATATATTAAAGTAAAGATTGTACACACACGCGTTGTTTGCTAGCTAGGCCAATATAATGTGAAACTTTCCAGAATATATCATTCATATCACACCCATTGTGTATTGTGTCATACTTCAGCTTTTCATCAAAGCTGCTACCTGTGACATAATGCTAAGGCTAACTCCTCCTTCATGGACCGCCACATTAAAGCACCACACACCTCATCTGCCTCTACAAGCTTAAATCATGAAGTGACTCTAAATAAACAAACAGGTAGCTATTGCTCGCTTTCCCTTGTACATACATGCACATGTTAAAGGCACACACAGAAAGAAAACATGCACTTAATGAAAGCAGCCTGGGACTGGTGTGCTTTTGGTATTTGGGTTTGACAAAAAGGGGGGGACTGGATTGTTCATTGTTGGAGTTTCCAAGAGAAATGTGAAAGTTGCTGCACAGGGGCATTATTGTGTTTGTGAGGAAAAGACACCACTCGGTTGGTTTAAGGGTAGAAGCAATGAAATGTCTTATATCACGTTTATGTATCAATATGAACTATGTTTGGTTTTTGATGTGACACAATGGTAGCCTTTTTCTTTTTATTATATGACACGTTTATATGGGAAAAATACAAAGTACAAATCAGATACATTTGCTCTTTAAATGTGTGTGTTTTCAGGAGCAGATGACTATTATTCCAGCCTTCTCACAGGATATCTCCTTTTAAAGATTATGGCATTTAACAATATGTTTTCGTAACAGGTCATACCCAATATTTGTTTTACCATCCACACAATTTAAGAGCACAGATTTCTGTTTTTATAGCTTCTTGAGAAGAACAATGTTTTGTTCATAGCATCTTAGTACATGTTTCCAATGTGCACTTTATATATATGTATATATATATAAATCATTCCCAAAGCCAAACATTTTCTTATCACATCAGTTTTTCTATTCATTTATCTGCTGGTCAGTTTGATCAGAAACATCAGGTGTCTTTGTATTCATTTTCTTATCATTTAATACCATAAGAAGGTGTGATCCTTTAATTCACACACAGACAAACGCATGCACGCACACACATATACTGAATGGAGTGGCTCAACAGATCTGCTTTTTGCCCCTGGATATCTTTTGCAATTTTTGCTTGTACATGTTTTGTATTTCTGAAAACACTAGTTGTAATATATATATATATATATATATATATATATATTTTATGATTGATTATTAGACTGAAAGGGCAATTAAAGGTTTTTATTAAGCATGATTTTGATACTCTCATAATAATGGATATTATACATTTCTATAATGTTCTGTCTAATATAAACCCTATCTCTTTTTAATCTAAATGTTGGCAATTCAAAGGGAACATGTTAAAACTGTGAACATATAACTGTACAGGTCCATCTGCAATTTTGCATTTATTTTAAGACAGAATATTCATACCACTTAATAAACGTATTGATAATATTTGCAGAATGGAGTGCTGTGACTTACATTTTGTTTGTGGGTGTTTTGCTGGAACTGATGATGGAGTTGGTAGTTGATCGACTGAAGATTTGTTTTGTATCGCAGGTGACTTATTAAGCACAAATGAAAAGTTTGAAATGCTCCCGAATATAGCTCCTCAAAGTTCAATATTTCCTCTTTTTCATAGCTCATATTATATGTTATTACAAGAGCTAATAAACTTAATTATTTTATACACACAAAAACATACACACACAGGCAGCATCATCACCTGAAGAATATTATTAAAATAATAACAAATGATTAATATTGGTAATTGTAGGTATCATCAATAATTAAATCATTATAGAGGTTAGTAGTTATAGTCTTTTGAAAGTTGTAATATGATGTGATTTTTCACTATTTTGTGACATTTGATGATTATTCAAAAAATACATTTAGTGTTTTTTTTGTGGCTGTGAATATACAGCATTAAAGGACTCAACTTGCTTGTCATAAACATAGGTCATAATGCAATTATTTAGTTTATTAAAATGTTTATGTGTATATTATATATATATGTAACTTATATTTGCACTCACTCTTATTTTTTACAGCAACTGCTACGACGGAATACACTTTTACATAGACTAAAACGTTCATTGTTATCTGAAGAAAAAGAGTGGGCTCGTCCGGGATTTGAACCCGGGACCTCTCGCACCCTAAGCGAGAATCATACCCCTAGACCAACGAGCCGCAATGAGCTGAGGGCTGAATATAGGGTAATTAAAAATAATCAGTGCTTGAACTTGTGTCAATTTTTTATTGTGTTCTTCTTCATTATTACACAAGATAAGAATGGTTAAGCTTTTAGGCTGGTGGGAATTGCCAGCCCAGTGACAAATCCACTATTATGTGAAAACAACCAAGTCACATGCATCAAGATGATTCACCCCTCATTTCTGTCTTCGTTTAAAACCACCTCACTGTGTGCCTTCCTCTTTATTTATACAGCAAGTTGCAAATCAACTGCCATCAGGCGGATACTTTTGTTGTCGGAGCAAATAAAATATGTGAAATTATCAATAGATTTCAATGTGAGACTTTTTACATGTATACCCTGTCACTCAGTAAAGGCACCGGACGGAACGACAACGGTTACAAAGTAGTTGTTTCAGTGGAGCAGTGTCTTTAATAATGCACTGCTTAATAGCAAGTTGAATTGTTAAGCACTTGCTTTCTTCTTAGTGGAAGAAAACAGCCGTAGACAACAGTTGTTTCCAATGACTGTCTGTGTTCCTGAGGCAGTGAACTATCTTGTGTGACCATAGTCTTCGGAGCAGTGGTCACGTACCGGCCTGCCGACGTGGCGGGGCGGAAGAGGAGCCGCAGCCTGCTGGCACCAAGCAACCGGGTGAGCTGCACTGTCACTTTCACAAAAACAAAACTGTCTTTGAGCTTTATAACTTTTCTACTTTCTCTAACTGCAGCAGCCGACTGACACTAATGGGCAACAACACGGGCGTTTAAGTTTTGATACATTGTTTAACTTGTTAAAAAGGTAGAACTTGTAAATAAGATCATTAACATGCGAATAATAGTCTTATTGTCATACTTTCCATCTGAACAGTGGTCTTTGTTAAATGTCTGCTTAACATTGCTCTGTATGTCAACGTTGTTTACTAATGTGTTTAATAAGTGTTAAGAGAAGCAGGAGATGCATATTGATGGCAATATTAAATGACTGTTTTTGTAATTATCAGTTTATAGTTATGGGCTACAATTATAACTCTAAAAACGGTTTCGAAAGTTTATGGATACATTATTTTTGCTCCAGAGTAATGGAAACATGTTGTCATTTTATACTTAAAGTGCCGCATTCTGCAAACTCTTGTCTGTTTTAATGGATTGCTGTATATTGATAATGTCAACTGGTTTGTTTACTATTTTGTTTACTATTTTTCCCATTACATGTAGTTTGTGAACGATGACAGTGTTAAATGACATTTAACTCAAGACAAACTTCGCAGTGTTTAAAAACCATGATGACAGGGATGACAGTTATCATGTGGATGCAGATACAGCAGGCTAACACTATATGGTAGTGTTAAACCATGAAGCAATCCTTAATCACTGCCTTTGCACAATATTTCAGTTTTCTATACTACTAAAAATGTGCCTTTCACATAGCATGCATCAGGTATGAAATGTATAACAGCAGCTCATCCTTTATGATATTTAGGTTTTTATTCAATCATCAAACATTAGATATTGTATTCGATGGAAAACTTCTTAACCCTCTGCGATGCTTGAGTGGATAAAACACTAAAAGCACATTATCTACTACAGATTATACTAAATTGACAGATGCCCAAACCAGTTGGCAATTAGTTGCAGTTATTTCTACCTTGGTGATGTTGTTGAAATAAGGAGAAGTTTGGACTTTATTCTGAACCTTCACAGTGGAAGTGAGTCTAAAATATCTCTGTCCTCTCCCAGTGCCTCAAATACAGCCGTATTGAATTGATGTCTTTTGCTTGTCCTAAGCATTTGAACGTTGTGCTATTGAACCTAGTTACTTATGATAAGATGAACATTCACTATTTTGATTATCAATGTATCTTTTAAATCAAACAGTATTCAGCTTCTACTTTCTCCAATATGATCTAAAAATGTGTCTGTTTGTTTAATTGGTAATTAACAACAAACAAGATTATTCGTTGCATCAACAATTGAAATTGTGTTGTGAAAATGCAGGTAATATATTTATAAAATAAGTAACACAAGGTTGTCTGTAGTCATAAGCCAGTACATACCGATATTAGACTAACCTTGTCAGCTTTAATTAATGCTATATATTTTTTAAATGCAGATATGTGTTGTATTATGTAAGATGTGTAACATAGGAAACATAGATTTATAGAAGAGTACATCTTCATTTAACTAAAAACCACTAAAATCAATCTCTTCTCTTCCAGATCACCATGTCCCAGGCTGATACTGACCCCTTTGCTGACATCAGCTCTCCCCCCACTGAGCCCCTTCACCCCGACCCTGGATCCTGTCAGGATGTCCCAGCAGCCTTTGCATCGCCTCCAGCCTGTCTACAGCCTCCTCTGATTCCTGAGAGTTTTAATCTCCCGCGGTCCACCACTGAGGAGACGACCACAGAGGGCATGACCACCGAGACTAACCCTTCAGAGGGTCCGACCGAACAACCAGGGCCTGCTGCTGAGGGCCAGGTGATCATATGTGACCAACCAGAACCCGCCGCTGAGGGTCAGGTGATCTTGTGTGACCAACCAGTGAGCCTGGAGCCAGACGCAGAGGCTGTAAAGGAGGATGTGGAGGTTTGTTGCAATCATTTCTTTGGTTTCTTGTCATAAAGTGCAAAATATAACGTTTTAAGGCCAAACCTGTTTGTATTGCCAGAGTGACATAATACAAACAGGGATATTAACTAGACAAATAAAAAAAAAACTTTGAAACAGGCTTGCAAATATGCAAGTGTGTCATTAGTTGTATAAATAAATTGACCAGAGAAATGTCCAGGTACAGTATGTGTGATGAGGACATTTTTTTTGTTACTTGATTTTGTCACGCATCTCTTTGTTTTAAGTATACCTTAAACTAGAAATTGTGCCCTTGTGTTGGGCAGGACATATTAGAATTTCAAACAAAAAGCTGACGACACTGTACGTACATATTTTAATATTGGTGTTTTAAAAAAAAGTAAAATAAATATATACTGTATATCTCAAGGTTTTCCAGCTATTTATCTGTATGTGTTTATATCTGTAGAGCTCACTGCAGGAGACAGACAAAGGTTGGGGAGTTTGGAGTTCATGGGGAAAATCTCTTATTAACAGTGCCACCTCTTCAGTGGGTACGTCCTCTGCTCCTATTTCCTCATTCTTCTTCTTTCTTGTCCTTACCACTTTACAAACTCTTTTGATTTCCTGAGTCTTTACCTCATGTGTCTGTGTGCAGGTCAGAGCCTGACCTCGGTTAAAACCAAGGCAGGAGAAGCTCTGCGCCTCCACAAGACCTCAGTAGGAGAGGAGGCGCGAGAAGAGGAGGATGCAGTGGAGGAACAGAAGAATGATGGAGGAGAAGGTGGAGATCCTGAGCTGTCCGTCTCTGCTGAGTCTCCTGCTAGCGCTGCAGCTCCTGGGAGGGGCGTCTTCTCTAGCATCACACACGCTATGCAGAACACAGTGAGTGAACACACATTCACACACAATCATGTAAACAATTACCTGCCAGTGATTTCTGATTCAAATCTGCTAAGTTAAAAAATACGTTAGTTAATGCAAGTCAGAGTTTTGACTCACAAAGATATCTGCCATCCTTTTTTGGATTTCTTCTGCCCTAACTATGAATGGGTTCATAGCTAAGCTGAACACAAAAGAAAAGATGGACACAAAAGAAGATTGCAGAAAACAAATAGTCCACAAAAAAAGTATTTAGTGTATAATCTTAATATATCATTTAAACTTTTTCTATTATAGTCCATCATATTACAAAAAGTATTTTTCGCTTCATTATCTCAGTATCTGATCATTTCAGTTCAAGTCAAACTGTGGACTTCGTATCACTTTCATTATTCTTAAATATTTGTATTTCTATCTTTTTCAATTTCCTGTTTCTCTCTATGTGTATCTCTTGTCTCTTTAGGGTAAGTCAGTGATCAGTGGAGGTTTGGATGCTTTGGAGTTCATTGGAAAGAAGACCATGACTGTTCTTGCTGAGAATGACCCGGGTTTCAAAAAGACTAAGATCCTGATGCAGAAGACGGTGTCACTGAGTCAGGCATGTAGACACACTCTCAGAGCTCACATACAGACACTCAATATGTTTCCTTTTAAGAGATAAACAATGGGGTAAAACATGGATTTTGGTTTGGTGATATTCAGTTTAAATCCACATTTTGTATGCTGTTCTTTGAAGGTTTCCCTGTGATTTTTTTAGATGTTAAAGGAAGCCAAAGAGAAAGAACGGGCCCGCCTGGGCAACCAGCCAATCAGTGTGCCCACAGCTCACTATGGTATTCTGTTTGACGACTACCAGGGCTTGTCACATCTCGAGGCCCTGGAGATCCTGTCCAATGAGAGTGAGGCCAAGGTAAGGCACCAGTGTGAGGAGTGCTTTTAAGATACAGTCTTTTTTATCAAGTCATACACTCCATATCTGCTCCTAGGTCCAAGCCTTCCTCTCCTCCCTGGTGGAAGAGGAGCAGGACGAGGTAAAGAAGGAGCTGATCGTCATTAAGAATATCTTCATCAAGCGAGAGGAAGGTGAGGAAGAGGAAAAACAGGAAGAAGAAAAAGAAGAAGAAGGAGGAGAGATGAAGGATAACGGTGTTCTAAGTTCCCAATTACACTGTTCAACCCCCCTATGTGAGTGACCCAAACCAGCCGCCAGACCTGCTGGAGGTAGAGGCGGACCCTGAGCACTGACTCTGGATCTGCTGGCCATAATTTAATTTCACCTTTTAAATCTGTCAGAGGGACATGGGTCAGGAACAGAATTGATTTGACACATACTTAAAGTAACTAAAACATGTCAGCGTCAGATTGTGACATAACGTCGTGTCTGTCAGTGTCAACATACATAAACTAGTTTTCCTATTGGCAAAATCCTGGACAAATATTTCAACATTATGGCAACTGGAGGAATTTTGTTCTTCATCTACTGCTGTTTCTCTGTTTAAGTAATATGTTCTGCCAAAGTTGAATTTACTGTCAAGGGGGTGTCATGAGATGCCACTTGTCACATGCGATTTAAATGTAAAGTCACTGTGCGAGAGGGGCCCTCAGGCGATGTCACAGCAGAGCTCAAAGCAGACCATGTCCCTCCACCCTCAGGGTCTAACAGGGAGCCTGATCCAGTGTTGGTGTTCAGGGGCCACTGACACGTTTCTAACACATCGCCGATTCAAAACAAAACCCACATCAGATGAAGACATTGAATCTGCATGTGTGTGCCTTACACATTTAGAGCTGATTGTACTGATATATAAGAGTTGTAATTTATTTAGTACAAAAACATGAATCATAAGTGCACCAAATGTTGGTTGAGCTGTTTAGCTCAAGGCAGACAAAATGTTTATCGTTATGCTCTTAGCATGGGGGAAAACACTGCATGTGGCTTTGAATCTGCTCTCAATCCACAGTTCATGCGTCTATTAGTTTAACATGTGTGTGTGTGTGTGATTTTGTGTGATTCTGTATTTATGCCAGCGGCCGACGGAGAGGAGTTTTTGAGCGTCCTCACTGAGCTGCTGTTTGAACTTCATGTTGCTGCAACGCCAGACAAACTCAACAAGGTGAGAAATGCTTGAGCTGACGCACACACTTTGGATGAATGAATATTCATTCATTCTTTCATTCATTCCTTAACATTTTAACGTTTAATTATTCACATTCTCATATGTACATTTAAAGACTCGCTTTCATCGTTCCTCTTTTGCATACTGGCCTTGAAGTTGATGCATCTAAAATTCATCCTCGTGTGGAATGTGATTTTTATCAATATTTACATATATAACGACCAACAACCCAATTCACAAAATAAACACACAATCTTAAACATGGAAACCACAAAAAACTAATGAAAAAGCATTTCAAAACTAAATGATTTAAATTACCTAATTGTGTTGATATTATCTTAATTGTTACTTGTTCTACATCAAACAGAAACTAACTCTTTATGTTCAGTTCATCTTTTTCAAACAACCTTTATCCTAAACAAATAAACACAGTTAAGGGCTCAATGATTCTGGCCTCAATATTCACTGGTGGTTTCTGCAGTTTTTGTCCTATGTTCTATCCTAAAGGTTAGATTTCCCATTAAACCTCTTTTAATGTTATGTACTCACAGTATATTTTTCAAAGCTCTATTCTGTCAATTAAAGAAGCATTCTGGGAAATGTAACAAAACACTTGAAGTCTATCAGAGAAAATCATTTTCTATAAACCCCCTTAATTAACTTACTTTCAACTTTAATTAAAATTTAAACTGCACTCTGAATAAATCTCTTCAGAGAGAATTGCCTAATTTCCCTTCCAATTGTACTAGATATTTGGACACGTACACATACTAATATTAACATCTACTCTCTCCTGCTGCAGTCTTAGACCTAAAAATGATCACCTTTTGAAGTCCTTCTGCATATTCAAATTCACATTTATAGAACCCACATTAGCATATCATCGTGTATACGCATCTCATTAGCATATATCAGGACTGAGATCTCTCTAATTATGCACATGAAGGCTCGAATGAGGGCCCAGGATTGGGTGAGCGAGGTGGAACAGCCTGTCACTACGGAGACGGTTGACAGGGAAACGCCACAGGACCAGCCAGCAGGAGAAGCCTTACCTGGAGAAAACGAAGTGGAGGAGGAGGAGGAGAAGAAAGACGGAGAAGAGCATGTGGAGAAGAAGAGCGAGGGGGAGGAGGTGGAGGGAGGAGAGGAGGAAAAGAAGGAGAAAGAGAACGACCCCAGATCTGTAGAGGTGAGGTGAACTCAACAGTGTGACTCTAAACAGCAACATTACAGACTTTATACTCTGTTCTTTTAATGCCACCTTCTTTTTCACCTGCTATCACGAACAGATTTGATTTGATTCAGTTATTCTTTGTATATGTGTTTATGTGCTTTTCTCCTCCTGCTCCCCCTGCAGGCTGTCTACCTGTCATCAGTCAGCAGTCTTGCAGAAGTGACGGCTCGCAGTATCGAGCAGCTCCACAAGGTGGCAGAGCTCATCCTCCATGGCCAGGACCTGGAGAAACCAGCCAGAGACCAGGCACACATCCTCACCAGGTGTGTGTGTGTGTGTGTGTGTGTGTGTGTGTGTGTGTGTGTGTGTGTGTGTGTGTGTGTGTGTGTGTGTGTGTGTGTGTGTGTGTGTGTGTGTGTGTGTGTCCTTTCTTAAAGGGAGGGCAATTTGCTAAAATCTTCATTTGTATTCCAGGTTGACATGTGCCATGTGTAAGGAGGTGGAGTGTTTGGCCAAGAAGTTCTCTGATACGCTGCTTCTTGTTGGGGTAGGTGAAAGGCATAGTTAGTAGGCTTGTTTCTCTCCAAAATGTCATAGGCAGAAGTAGATAAACAAACCACAAATACAGCATAAATGTTTTTTTTCTTTTCAAAAGATCTCTAGAAAGGGCCACAACCTACACATTTGTTTAATCTTTGTAGTTCTTTATGATTCATGATTGTTATGAAAATGTACAACCAGTAAACTAAGTGTCATCCTCCTTCTGCTTCTGTCTCCCTGTCGCAGGGCCAAAGGAAAGCAGAGGAGTTGAATCCGCTGGTAAACGATGTGCTTTTAGAGGTGAGATGCAGTCCTTTGTCCTTAGATGATCTTGAATATAATTGACAATGAATGAAATGAATGCTGTGGTAAGCTCAGCGTGAAGATGACTGCTGTAAGTGTGTGGTAATTGATCATGTTTAATGTGTTAATAGGGAATGAGGTGAGCTAACCTTCAAAGGATAAAGATCTGTTTGAATAAATTCACAAGGTGTTCAATATATTAATGATGCTCAAAGTAAATTATGTTTAATAATTTCAACCTCAAATACCTATTCTTACTATTTTTTTTTTAATGTTCTGTATGATTTAAATACAGCTTTAAACTATACCCTAAACCACTTATTAAAAAGTTAAAATCATTGAATTTCTGATGATGATGATGATGATGATGATGATGAGGATGATGATGTAGTTAGTGATGTTTATGGTGTTCCTGGATTTCCTGTCTGCAGGGCTCCAACAGTACCAACTACATTGAGAATGCATTGCAGCTGCTGCTGCCCGTTCTGCAGATCTCCCACATCCAGAGCCAGCAATGTCGCTCCAATTCAGAACCATCAGCGCAGACACAGCACTAACAGACACACACACACACACACACACACACACACACACACACACACACACACACACACTCGCCAAATGCTCACCTGCTCGCCTTAATGTATCTATTGTTGTACAGAAAGTATAGAGAATAGATTATTTCAGATTAAGAGCTTTAATCCACATCCCATGCCATCGCTAAAGGCCAAAGATGGTTTACACATACGTAATATCATTTTGAAGATAACAGTTTAACATAATAGACACTTGTAAAAATGACCCATGTTTGACGTTATTTTGACTCAGCATATATTTTTCTTTGAGGACACTAACTGACTTGTTCAGAGCTTATTCAAGCAAAGCTACTACTCAATCTGAAAAAAGATGTTTCTGTGTCGTCTCCAAAAACTGAACCAAAAAAAAACGAACTGTATGAAGGGACTCTACGTTAATTTAAGCTTTCTTTGCACTACTTATGGTTCTTTGTGATTTCAATATAAATACCATTGACTTACACTAGGGACATGTCTGTTTGGCTGAAATGTTCTTTGAATCTAGTTTGAGGCAAAATGCCAGTATTAGTGATTATACACAACACATTTAGCTTGTTTCTTTATTTGTTTTTTGTATGTTAAATGATATGAAGTACCACTCTTATTCGGTTTGATTTGACACAGATCTGTGCTTCATACTTTAAATGAGAAAATATTAAGTTCACCTGCGTTATTTTCTATACCTTATTGTTATACTAAAGATGTAATGTAAATGAATTCATCTCTAATTATGTTTTGTTATGCTGCTATATTTAGTAATAGTTATATACTGTAGTACAAATAGTTTGAGTTTCGATTTATTGGGGATTTTTGTTTATTAGCTTTCTTGCCTCTTGAGAGTTAGCTGAGAGGTTCGAAACCACTCTCCTCATCTGACTCTTGGAAAGAAAGAAACAAATGTCACTCAAATGTTTACCTTTATCTTAATAACTAAATTACATAACATGACTACTGCTACTGAACATCTTGAAGAACACATTAGCCAAAACATTTGAATTAATCTTGTCCTCCTTGTCCACACTTCTGGATCCCAGGAGGTAAACATCTCAAACAGTTTCAAAATTATTATTATTCCCCTTTTACTTCAAATGTAAAGTTTTAGCAGCCATTCCAAGATGCTCACGGCATATCTGTTCTTTAATATCCAGTGTTAAATTGTCTCTTAGCTTCAAGCCATTTCTCCTTTTCTGCTGCTTCCCTTTTTTGAGATGCATTGCAGGCACGAAAGACATTAAGCAAAGAAATGACTGTCGTAATGTTTTAACTCTTTCAGCTTCATTCAGATGAGATTAGGCTGTGCAACAGCCCTGCTTCTGCCTTAGAATACAAAATGATTTGTAATGTGAAATGAAAAGTCACTTATTTAAGTTTGGAGAGCTTACTAATATATTGTGATTCCCTTCTAATAATAATGCCATTAGACTGTCAAAAATAAATGTTTAACTTCATATTCATGTGTCTCAGATGTTTTTATTTTTACCATTAAGGTGGCTGGTAATTAAAGCTGTCCTTTTTCATTTGTGTCCAACACACTCTCAATAAGCTCTTCTGGCTGCTCCTCTGTCATCAGGTCTGCTCCTCTGATAATGAAGACATGAAGGGATGGTTGCGATGATGAAGATTTGCTAAAGATAAACAAAAAAGAAAGATAAGTGTTAGATAACAGGATAAAGAGTCAGAGTGGGTGACCTGAACTCCCTAAATGAGGTATATTTGATGGCTACAGTAGTTAGTTGAAGTATAATCATTTTTAATATAAATATACACAAGACATCAATCAAATTAAGAAAGACAATAAAAATGGTGCAAGTTCAGGAGCCCCTATTGTCGAGACGAAGGTCAATATTAAAATAAAGATAATATCTGATAAAAACGGTGAAGGGCAAATTCTAAATATGGCTCCAGTCCAGCAGGTGGTGGTAGGGAGCCTAACATCTGTGGTTCCACTATAGAGATGCACCTGGAGATGCACACTCAGCAGAGGACAAAATACAGAAACACTTTTAACTGTGAGTAGCAGAGAGGAGAGGATTGACTCCAGGATTCACCCAAAGACACTGCTGGTAATATTTCTAAATATATTTATCTGGTTTGAAGATAAGTTTGATGAAGAAGATTGAATTGAATAATTATTTCTAGTTAGTCTTACAAATTATTAATTTAAAATATAAGAAACTGGAATTAATTTACTTTGTTGAGATGAATTTACTTTTGACATGAAATGTTAAATTGTCACTTGATTTACATTTAAAACCATAGAGCAGAAATTAGAGTGCATGTTTAAGTATGGTATGTTTTTCATTTAAAGGTTTTATTTGGCTAAATTGTTCTAAGTTGATGAAAGTGTGTTTCGTATTTTTTAAAGGTTTTCAACCTAAAATGTAAATGATGCAACATGGAAGCTAAATGAAGCTCCACGAAGCTAAAAGAACAATACATGATCTCAAATAAAAAGAAAAGAGGGTTAAGGGTCAAGATTTGAGTTGTCCCGTGTGTCCTTTTGGAGTGAACAAGCCATTTTCAAGTTTAGGCAGGAGTCAATCAACCAAACCCAATCAGAACTTGACACCTATTGATGACACTATTATCGGTTAAAGCTATCAAGTTTATATAAATGTTTTATATTTGATATTTATTCCAAATGGATTTAAAAAAAAATGTACGGCATTGTTAAAGCAAATCCATCTAGCTTAATTAATCACTGCACCACCCGGCGAGCCCACTCTGTGACTCAAACCAAACGCACCTTTAATGTCGCATCATTCACAGGTGCGTGCAGGTTTGTTTAGCTAACAAGCTAACATGCTAATGTGGTCATCTTCCAGGTGTTCTATTTCTTATATGGCGTAGCTCTCTAAGGCTATCGCTATTGGGTAATCCCCCTGCGCCCCCGCGCAGCACTGAAACACTTGTAGTCCACGCCCACCCGCAAGGTGGGCCCCACCCTCGGTCTCCCTTCCGGTATAAATAGGAAGGAGGCCCGACAACCTGCTCCCTCTTTTCTTCAGCAAACCACGGCAGTTACTGAAGCACAGAACTAAATAAATTGATCATCATGAGCAACAACTGCGTCCGAGATTGTCCCTCATGTGGCTCAGGATATATCATGAGCTAGGACCAGCACGCAATGTGCGAATCCTGCCTGGGGCCAGAGCACGCGAATGCGGCTCTCAGCCAGCAGGTCGCTTGCTTACATTGTGCCCGTCTCCCATCAGCCGACAGGAAGCGAAGAGCGGACGCTCTAGCTGCTGCTGCCGAGGAGGAGGATTGGCCCGTCCAGGAGCACGTGGACGGCAGCATGTCCCTGGAGCCGAGTGCCGGGCAGGAGTCGGACGACTCCTACCCGGTCTCCCTCCATGGTTCACCGTGCGGTTCTCCCCTCCCTCCTCTGAGTCGGAGCAGGGTGCTGGTTTGGCGGCCGAGCCCGCGGTCCCCTTCTCCGTTGCCATGGCGCTGCCGGCGTTAGGTGGCATCATGGTGGAGCTGCCGGAGATCATCTGCAGGGCGGCTGCCTGCAGAGGTCTCCCCGTTCCCCTAGGTCGGGAGAGGGTGGCTCTGGACGACATGGCTGGAGTTTTTTCCCGGGTTCAGATGGGCAGGAGTGATCCGTGCTTCCCCGCCATTAGGAGGTACCAGGAGGGGGCGGCGGCGAACCCGAGGACCCTGAGGGCTCCGGTGTCCACCTTTGTTCCCTTCACTAAGGTGGAGGGATTCACGGAGGATGGTTTCCCAACCACCCCCTCTCTGGAGCCGAGCCTGACGGCGTTCTTTGGGGTTAGGCAGGCCAACATGATCGCCGGACGGCGCCCTACGTTGGCATCCCCCAAGGACCAGTATGTCGCCCGCCATCAGTGTGCTTTTCAGGCTTCGGCGGCGGCGAACAACATCGCGTTGCTGTCCAACTCGGTGGTGACGCTGGCGGAGCGATCCGCCACCTTGGCACCAGAGGAGGCGGAGGAGATCGGTAAGGCAGCCAGGACGGCGCTCACGCTGTGCGCGTCCGTGGCTGTCTCCCAGGCGAGGATCGCTGCGTGGATGACGCAGATCCAGCTCCACCTCTGGCTGCAGCAGGCGGCTGTCACAGAGCCAGCCAGGAAGGTTTGCCCACAGCAACCGCAGCCGAGGCGTCAGACTCGTCCGTCGGCGGCGGCAGGGGCGCCGTCCCGCGTCTCCGCCCCCCCCATCAATAGGGTCAACGGAGAGTGAGGTATTCCCGCTCGTCGTCTGCTCCACGAGAGCCTCCGAGGAAGCAGAGCCGGTCTTGACGGGTTGGGGGGGATTGTGAGGAAAATAAAGAAAGCTCATTTTCCAACCTTTTGTCTGAGTCATCAGTATCAAATGTGTCTCACATATCCCCCACTCTGTGTAAACCAGCTGCCTATAACCGTTAATAGCAGTTAATAGCCAGCAGTGTTCGTTACAAGAGCCTGCAGTTTTTAATCTATCGGTTAATAAGCTGCAGAGCTCGTTAACTAAGCCAGCTGCCTCCAATCTGAGGCAGCAGGGCTCGCTGCAGAGGCCTGCTGGTTTTAACTTTTTCGGTTATTAAACCGCAGAGCTCGCGGCATTCCTCTGTCCGAGATACGCCACCTACACACGGTCACAATAAGCCCATGAGCGCCGTTGTAACGCCTCATGTGGACGTCACTGCACACACCTCCACTCATCCCATGAGCGTGTATGCGCCTCATGATGAGGGTCGGAGTGAAACGCAGCGTGTGGAGGCTTCCTCGCAGCCCTTTCGCTCGAGGCCCACCTTGGGTTGCATCACGGGCAGCGGCGGCGAGGGCTCTGGCGTGGCTCGTCGTCATGACGACCACAACACATCTCGAGCATGTGCGTCCGCTCTCAGAGTGTTTCTGAGAGTGGCAGCGCGTGTGTCTGATGGACAGATGGATGAGCAGGCTGATCAGCAGGAGGGTACACCTTACAGTTCGCCTCCCCCCCCCACAGTTTTCAATGGATACAGGGAAGACACGGCCGTCATCCGGGAACAGTGTCTTGCGCTCCAGTCAGAGCGTACAGAGAACTCTCCTGTTGAAAGAGGCTATTCCGAGGGTTCCTCAAGGGAAGAAAGATCAGGGTATTACTTCCCGCTTATTTTCTTATCCCGAAAAAGGACAGGCGCGGATGAGGACCCATACTCGATCTATCAGCTTCAACGATGGCGATAATGAAAAGGCCTTTTCACATGCTGACGATCAAAAGGGGTGCTGGAGTGTGTTCACAAGGAGGGACCTGGTTCACCTCTATAGACCTGAAGGATGCATACTTCCAGCGTTTACCCATCCATCCTCCACAACACAGGAAATTCCTGCGGGGGCGGTTTTCATTCCAGGGAATATCGTACCAGTACAACCGGTCTGTCGTCGTTATTCCCGTGGGCTGCCTAGCACCTTTTCAAAGTGGGTGTAGAGACGGCGCTGCAGGGGGGTCGGCGTACCAGGAGGGGAGGGGATGAGA